CTTATTCAATAAGAATATGCCCATTTAGATACGTATTGCCAAAATATATAAAAAATTGGATCCATATTCATGACATACTTAACCGATACATGGTAATCAATGTATGTACATGCTCTACAATAATTAGCACATCACTCATGCAATTATATATTTATCTTATTACCAATTTAAGCTTTCAGGGATCAACCCAATTATATATCAACCAAAATACCATAAACCATTATGGAAATCAAAATAAATGAAACAAACCATTTTGTTTTGGTAGACGACTTCTTTCTGCTTGCTAATCGGAGAGACCTCTTCAGTAAGGTCAGAACAAATATAGCATACTTACAAAAATTGAGATCATCAGTGGCACATGGTAAATCAATTCAACCAAAACACTAGCATGAAGATTGAAATAGAACAAAACTGTTATTCTTCTCAGTGCCATGGTTTCCACCGTAAAATACATAATATAATACCACGCCTTACATATATGCTTCTTTAAGTTCCTATATGATTATAGGATTCCGGTTTTTCTTAAATTTCATGCTTCAATTCCATAATGTAATTCATGCTTTGATTAAAAAAAAAAAAAAAAACGCCTCTAGCTCTAAGCATAGTCCAATTTCCAATTGGCAAGCAAAACTATGTGGTTATATGTAATACACTGCATACAATACAATATTGTGGATTCGTGCTGTAATCAGGCAACTTGTCTTGTTGATAATAATCAGGGTATCAATTAGCATAGTTCTTAATAAATTTCCCTTGACTGCAACCATAACATTAGTGAAAAATATTATTTTTCTGTCGAATCCTCACACTACGGAGGTAAAGCTAACTGCATATATTACACGAATCATCCACGAGCACTTGTCGTGAAGAGGAAGAGATAGACATGGGTATTTTTTTTTTTTTTTTTTTTTAATATGGAAGACGGAAAGCCCGAGGCTGCTCTAAGAGAACCCATCAATTCCCGTAACAAAAGTTTAATAAAAGTTGTTTTCCCAGTTTGAATAAAACCGAATGGTTCTATAACCTATTAACAATCATCAATTGTACCCATTGAAACAACATGGTGGTGTTGCCAAGTATATGCAATCATAACATGGATTAAAAACGCAGCTCATAAAAATATTATATAGTCCAACCTAAACCCTAATAGGTTTTAATCATATAACCAATGGCTCTGATACCACATGTAAACTTTATGTGGTTATATAATTAAAACACAAACGAAGGAATTTTAGCTAACCTGATCATGAAGCGATAGCCATTGGAGATCAAACGGAGAAGATGAAGGATGCGGCAACACCAAAGTCTTCTACAAAGCACCTAGCCGGATACAACTACTTTATGGGAAGTGTTTGTTGTGTCTCTAGGGTTTGCAGGGACCTTAGTATTTATGCTGGCTAAGGCATTAAGGTTCCATCCATAAAGGAATCCCAAATCCCACTTTTTAGCCTATCAGTTAGGTATCATAATCACATAAAATCAAGGACTCCATCAATCTTACTTGTATTACAAGACACCTAATATAAGATTGATATCTTTAGGAAATAAATCACAATATCTACATTAATCTCCAATATTACATTCCTATTATATGTTGTAGACCGTTGATTTACATCAGAATAAATCCAACAATTTCTTGCTCTACTTATCTTTGCTCTCAAATCTTAATCAAACAACCTACACTGATTTTTCTTCCTTTTCCTGCTCGCCATGTGTTTGTAGGAGATTATGTAGTAGTTAATTTTACCTCCAACCGCTTGTTGGTCTTGTTGGTCTTGTGGTTGGTAGTTGAACCTACGCAGGGCAATTCAAAGGAAGGATCGTACATTACAATTTGGACCAATAAGAAGGCGCCAGTTAGCCATCGAGTTGTCGTACTTTCAGTGAATTCAAATGTATTTATATCCGGTCTATGAAGATTATGTAAATCCTCAAATTGTGTTCGTTTATTGTATATCGTGCGGTTAATTTTTGTTAAATACTATTCATATTTAATTTTAAAAAAAAGTATTTAAAATGATTTCTGACCGCACGATGTATGATGAACGAACATGATTTAAGGATCCCCAAGATCCTTATTCGTATTTATATGATCATCACGATGAAGATTGAACTTTTTCCAGTATTTCCGATCTCAGACAAAATGGGAAACATTTAAAGGTTTTAATGCTGAAGCTGAAAGCTAGCGGGAAGTTAATTTATGTGCTGACAACAACCAAAATTTGCAGTGGCAGCCAACTCTCATTAAGCATGCATGCAGTTGTATAAGCAATACCATTCTGACTCTCTGCATTTAGATGTTGTGAATTTACTTGAGGATCTCTGAGTCTCTGGATTTAAAATTTGTGTTTACCCGCATTTCGTAGAATCTTGGCCATCTTGTCAATCTAATGACTTAAAGAAAGCCACAAATAAGGATATGTTTGGTACTCTCCTTGAATCCAACTTTTTAAACTCAAAAAACAGTTTTCAAGTTTTAGACCTTAAAAACTTGTTTGGTATTACTATTTTAAAAAACTAAACTAAAAAATATAGTCTATTATCTAAAAACATAAAAAAAAAGTTTTTAGAGTTTTTAAACTTACACACTCTTTTCTTTTCTCTCCATCCTCCCCTCTCACTCCAAATCTATCTCTCTTTTCTTCTTTCTCTTTCCTTATTTTCCTTTATTTTATTTTATAACCTTTTTCATCTATTTTCCAATCCGCTCTCTTTATTCTCTCGGTTATTTCTCTCACTCCTCTTCCTCTCTATCCCTTCTTTCTCTTTCCTTCAATAATCTCTTACTTTCTTTTCTCTTCTCTCCTCTTTCTCCCTCTCCTCAGATCCCCTTTTTTTAGATCTCATTGTCTAGTTTAAATCGTAAACCAATCAAGTTTTTGAGTCTTAAAAAAAATTGTTTTCAATACATGTTCTTTAGAAATGTTTTGAGAAATGATAAAAAAATTCAAATAGAATACCAAACAGAATCTAAGATTCTTTGTAATGTGCATAAATGCAGAGACTCAAGTTCAAAACAATAAGGTGGATCAAAATGACTAGATATCAATAAACAAAAGCTAATTATATATAAGTTTTTAATTATAGAAGCCTTCCAGTAGATATGTAGCTAGGCAAGTAGTACTAATGTTGAATATTAGAGGGTTTGTAACCAACTCTCCCTCTAATATTCAAGTGTTATTGTCTCCCTCCTTTGTGTTTTATTCCAACTAAAACACCTTAGAAATCTAATATTGTATAAGTTCAATTGGTTGTCACAACATATACAAAACGATGGTTTTATTATAACTCACTTTAATAAGAAAATCTTACAGTATGTACATGAAATTAGTAGCCTCAGCTACCCATGTAAATTACCTAACAGTAAGTTTAAAGCAAGGATTGATAACCACCTTTATTATGTTTTGATGATTAATAGTAATGGCAGCACTCTTATTAGGTGTTTTCACATTAAAGTGGTTATATATATATATTTGGTATTCACATGTACTATTATCATCAGCATGCAACGGTAAACTGTATTTATCTATCAACACACAATTAAATGAAATTTATTTATTTTTCATGGACGGCAAGCAGTATTTCCAGTTATATATATATATATATATATATATATATATATATATATATATATCATCTTAATTCTAAACTTCCGGGAGCTTCTAACTACCCATGAAGATATGATGATGGGAAGTAAATGCTCTTTTAAATCTACGACCAAAACCCTAATATTTGATTTTATTAGGGTTTGTTCGGTCTAACAAAACCTTGCATTAGTAGTCTAACAACGATAATCCCTTAACCTAATCCTTGCATTAGGGTTTTTTATTTTTTTTTAGGTTATTAAATCCTAATTAAAACCCTTCTTCTTTGTCTCTCTCTATAAATAGTAAACAACTTTAATTAGGGAAATGCATTTTAATTTCCATCGCCGGTGCTGCATGCAGCACATGGTTATTGTTTTTTGGGTTACGACACATTTATTCTTTTGTCTCGGATGATGAATAATTAAATCTCATATATATATATATATATATATATGTATGTATGTATATATATGTATGTATCTCAAGATTTGCTGCAGACATGCATTTTCTGCAGAGATGCATGCAGGAACTTATGGTCTACCTGTTGCTTTCAAACAATCAGTAAACATAGTTAATAATTAGTACTCACTATGAGCTCGCTGTTATCTGCCTTTTTTTGTTCGAATATTTTGAAATATCTCACTCGAAGCCATAAACCCTCCTTCATTGGTTTGAATTCTAAAAGTTTAAACATTGGACTAAACATGTTCAAACTTTGCCTCCGTTTCATAGCTTGGTTAACTATTAAGCAAAGTCCCAAGTTCATATTCCTTTTCATAGTACTGAAATGTTGCGGCTAAAATGTTAATGTTAGATTGAATTTTCTTTCATGTTTTTTGACCTAATACCAGTGTCTCATACCCAACAAAGAAATGACATTCTTATTGATTGGAATTGCTTGGTATTTCTTTGGTACAAATTAAGCTTAGGCATCTGAGAGTCGACAGGCTTTCTCCTGTGAATTCAAGTTCGAATTGCTTGTTTAAAGTAAAATTTTGCTTGGATCGAAAAAATTGAAACTCTAACTGTGAAATAAGAAATATTTTTGTGTGCACGGGAAACATAACGGTGTTATAAGTCATAAAATTAATGTCACACTTATAAGTGTATTAACAAAAACAAACACACACGATACAATGAGAATAAAATTAATAATAATACAAAATGTGATGTTACTCCAAATAGGCCAAAAATTATTCGTGATATATTATTATTATTATCATTCAAATTAAGATAAGATGGAAAATAAGAAAGAATTTAAATCTGTAACACAACATAATGAAGATAAAAGTTAAATGTACACTTGGGAAAATTTGACATTTTTATTTTTATTTTTGTTTAATTGGTAAACAGTAGTAAACAGAGACATGTAGACATCAATCATCAGTATAAAAAAGCATTGGACCACTCCACTACAAAAAGCACAAGAAACAACAATACGCTCGGGCATTATTATATATGAGCACCGAATGAACCAGTCAGGCGGTGCCCATTGTCGTGGCCGGAAAGCTTTGACTTACCGGCGCCGGAATTACGAACCTCCGCAGAGTCCATTTCTTCACTGGAAGTTTGACAACGAAAAAACAACCGGCGGAGTCGTCCAGGCCTCGGCTCGGAAGCTCGCCGCGGGGCTGTGGCAATTACGCTTTAGCGAAATCTCATGGGGTCGGAAGATCAAATTCAATTCTTGCCCTTCTGATCCTTCTCCTCCTCAGCCTCAGGTGATTCTGATTTATTTTCATGTTTTTTTTTTTTTGTCAAAAAATTATTTTTTAAGTATTTGGTAGTGTAGTGACTGTTATATGTATTTTGTAATGTAGAGTTGTATATGAAATGGTTATTAATTGTACATAGCATTGTTTTCTGAACTTTGGCTGATGTTTAGACTAGGTCAATGAATTAAAAATCCCTTAATGCGATGATTAACTAAAAGCTAGTTTTATTTCTCGCCACTTGTAAGTGAAAAAGTCTGTATTTTTACTTGTACTATGAGTTCGATAACTAATGTTTAGTGTATTGTGTGGTTTAACCTAAATACTCAGTAGAATATCTTTTTATCAAAATAAAAACCCGTAAGTCCTTACTCAAAGTATATAAACAATGTGGAGCATTAGTCCTAGCTAGAGATTGTTTCCGTTTATATTTTTAGGTTAGGCATGACTACGGGACAGAGGTTCAGGGCCGAAGGGGTAGAGAAAGACCTAGGAAAACTTTGGAAGAGACTCTAAGAAAAGACTTAGAGCACTTGGATCTAACGGAGGACATGACACAAAATCGAGCGCAATGGCGTTCTAAGATTCATATAGCCGACCCCACTTAGTGGGAAAAGGCTTTGTTGTTGTTGTTGTTGCATGCTTTTGTTTTTAGGTACTTAAGAAAATGACTACACTTAAATCCTTTGTTTTTTTTTTAGCTAAGGGTTACACTTTGAAGAAATTCAATAATGTTTTGAAATTATAGGTTAAAGAATTGATCTTTGAAGTTGGGACTCATGAGTTCTTGTTACCATGTCATGAAAATACAAAAAATCACGGTGCCGAAACGAAGCATGAGCTACAAAGCTCTCAATTGGGTTCAAAAAACTAAGTTATGAATCAAATGTTATCTGTCCTTTCTCACTCAATGGTTTATGCCTTGAATTGATTATAGTCTTTCGTACTAGACTGAATTCTCGTAGGGTAGGATTGATCTTTTCTCAACTTTACGCTACTCGTCTGAATTATGCAAAAGCTAAATATTTGAATATACCCTTCAATTTAAGCTAGAACTTACCTAGATATAAAAATTATTTCAAAATTCAATGCCTCAAATTTAAGCTTCTAACAGTTATGTATCATTTTCTTTTGATTTTGTAGATTGAATCGTCTTTGGCAACTACCAAATGTGCATCGGAGAAGGCAACAAAGTGGGATCGTGGCTGCTCAGGAGAATCTGATGACATCTATCAGTTTTACAGCCATATGAAACTTCTCGAAGATTGTCAAGTTACTACTAGTTCTATGGCATCGGCTTTGAATGCAGAACTAGCAGAGGCTAGATTATGCATTCGTGAGCTGCAAGCTAAGCGAAAGTCCTTTAAGATGAAAGTCAAACACTTTTTGAGGAAGCTTGAAGAGGAAAGAATCTCTTGGCAAACCAGAGCTCACTGGAACAATCATGCTATTAAAGACCTGAAGGAAGAATTAGGAAGGGAAAGGAAACATCGTCAGCAGATGGAAAATGTTAACACCAATCTGATAAATCAGTTAGCTGGTGTCAAAGTGTCTGTAGAGCAGTTCATGAAAAAATATGAGGAAGAGAAGAAAAACAGAAAATTCATGGAAGAAGTTTCTGGTGAACTAGCTGCACAAATTGGAGAAGACAAGGCCGAAGCCGAGGCATTGAAGAGAGAATCAATTAGAATTCTTGAAGAAGCGGAGGAAGAGAGGAAAATGTTTCATCTAGCAGCAGTTTGGCGTGAAGAGCGGGTCCAGATGAAGCTGATCGATGCAAAACTAGCTCTTGAAGATAAATATTGTCAGCTGAACAAGCTGATAACAGATGTCGAAACTTTCTTAAGGTCAAAGTTTGGAACCCTGGATATGGCGGAGTTGAGAAAAGCTGAGTTGATCCTACAGGAAGTTAAGTCATTGAATGTTACTGACACTGGGGAATTTTCTTACCTTCCTCCAAACTCAGATGAAATATACTCTGATTGCAAAGATCTCCAACAATGTGAAGGAAATGATAGGGAGATTGAACCATACGTTTGTCGCAGTCCATCTAGCCATAATTCCACAGTCCATCCCATGAATCCGGAGGATAATGGGTTCAACAAAACTTCTTTTCCAATGCAGTTGAATTGCTTTAGTGATTATGATAGTTGTTATGGAGATGCGGGTTTGGATAACATGAGTCATGCCGAGGATCATCAGGGTTCTTGTGATTCATTGGTAGCACGCAATACCAACGTTAACAAAGTTGGCCAGGCCAAAAATGTATCGAGGAGAAGTGAACATAACACCAATGTTGGTCAATATTCTCCAGATAGGGAAATCAGTGAGGTGTGCTCACCATCGGAGAAGCAATCAAAGCAAGAGGCATCTCCTACATCTAAGATATCATGTCCAAGCAATGGTGAGTTTCATAAGATAGTTTTGGATGAGGGTGAAAGGAGGCTTTCGAATGGGATTACTTCACGTCAGGGAACCAAGGCATATCGAGGTTTGTTTCAACAACGAGTTGAACAATGGATCCCAACAGACATAGCGAATCCACACATAACTCGAGGAATGAGAGGATCCATTGAATGGCCGCGAACCATCCAAACGAATTGTTCAAAGGCCAAGCTTTTGGAAGCAAAAATAGAAAGCCAGAAATCTCAGTTGCGCCATGTTCTTAAACAGAAGATTAGGTGAATTCGGTGTTCGGTGCTCGAAATTTTGTTCAAGTTCCATTCGAACTATGATGTGGCTGATGCACTGCATATTCCTCCACTTTAAGGTACTGTACATCATCTGCCATGCCATATATCTTTTGAGTAGCAGAGTGAGTGTTGGGGGAATCTCTAAACTTTAAGCAGCCAACATACCTGTTTTTGGAACCCATAGATCGAAATACTAATGAAAGTATGTAGCTATAAAAAAGTACACAACTTGTTTTCCTTTCGTCACAATGAATGTATGTTATTTTTGCCAAAAATTCAAGAGAAGAATGCATTCAAGCTCATCAATCATTTATATTGTCTGAATGGTTCGAATTTTTTTCTCCGTAGTTTAGAATCTTTAGTCTCAAGAATGTAACAACTTTCTTTTTTGCAAACATACCCACCCACAAACCAACCTTCAAGGCCACTTGAGATTTGGACCATTTATTACACCTTTTTGAAGATCAATTGAAATAAAGCTAGTTTGTTGTCTTTGAATTAGAATCTCAACCAAAAACCACATTGTTGAGTGCCAATTCCCGTTCGCCCATCTTTCTTCCCTCTAACGACTCGAATTGTCACTTGTTCGTGTCACTCACGGAGCGTGTAGCATCATGTTGGTTAAGGAACATTCACCTCTATATCTTAGTTTTAAGTCCTTGTATCAAAAGAAAAGAAAAACAAGTCAAACAGTTACATTGAAAATAAAGTGGGTCGAATTTATTACAATGGCAAAGCTCAATAGAAGTGGGTTGAGCTGTAATAAGTGCATCAGCTTAATGGGTCACCGATAACTTAAACGCTATTGTTTATGAATAAAGACTTACACTAAGGGGGTCGGGGAATGACTATAATAATGTGGTTCAAATTCGTCTTTGAAAAAAACCGAAACTAAGACCTCTTACTTACATGTGAAGATAAGCATCGTATTTAAACTGCCACTTAGTATTACGGTCTAGTGGTATTCCTCTTTACTTGTGAGAGGTTTTAGGTTTGATTTTCACCAAAGGCAAATTTGAACCAAATTATTGTTAGCCCATTGTGAAGCTAAGCCTACCGTTTGTTCAAAAAAAAAAGGGAACTTTAACGAAAAGCTCCCGGTACTGTTCACTTTAACGAAAACCACATTTTTACACTAAAAAGTCAATCATGGTACTATTCACTTTACTCTTTATTTTGTCCTTATCATTAAAACTCAAAGTTTTCAAGCCCTTTTTATTAGTTTTCCTAAAAAAAAAACATCGTATTTAAACTTAGAACCATAAAGAGCATGGGTGTATGCTTATATATTTTGGTCTGTTTTTAATATTCGGTGGTTCGGACCAGGAATATAAATACGGAAGATTGATTGCAACTTCTTCAGTCACCAGAACCCTAATTTTCGACTCTTTTGCTCTTTTGCTCTTGTTCTGTGTTTCTTTTTTGCCCTAGAACGACGCTTTTCTTGCCATAAATAGTATATATATACTTATGTCGCGTTGCTTCATTGTTTGAAAATTTGCAGACATGACAGGAGTAGTCCATTGGATGATTGAGTATCCTGATCCTGGTTTGCAGACATGGTCCATTGAGGTGTTAGACCCTTGGAATGATAGTTCGTACAAGAGGGCGTTGGTAAGAATTTAGCTGAATCGTATACGTTTACATCCTACACCTGCTGTATATACACTCGTTCTAATTTGAACACCCCTCCCCTCCCCATGCATGTTATTGTGGAGAAGGCCGCGGTTGACGACAATTCTGATAGGGGCAAATTATTCCGGTAGGAAAATCCTGAATCGTACGATTTGACAAGGTTAGTTTCCAATTCCCCTCGTGATTTTATTATCTTGGTTTGTAATGCCTCAGTGGGATAAAGATTTTTTTGTTTTGTTTTCATCTATGCTTTTGCTATTTGCTCAGGCAGTTTGTAGAGGAACGCAAACCGTGAACTTTAAATGCTTGGAAATTGAGGCAGGCGCATCCACATATTATTCCAGCTAGAGTTCTCCAGCATCAAACATGTTTATGCCCTCCTATGTATTCAGTCCGGTGGAGGTAATTACCATATTCTAATTTGAGCCTCCATGCAGGTGAGTGTGGAGACGGATGCAAGGAGAGACGTTCCTGGCTTTAGAGACAACAAGTTAGTTCCCTTATTTTCTTGGTTGTGTATTGCTACAACGGAATAGGACTTGTCCCCTTCTTGGCATAGGATTTATCCAAGCATATTGCGACAATAGCTACTAATTTTCACGCTCCATATTGTTACATAAGATTAGCATACAGAAAGGAATACAAACTTGTTACTACAAAGGCGAACTCATTTGTGTCCATAGCTTTCTCTCAAGTGAACGGGTTCTCACATGGTTTTATCGCCTATCCTTTGCTTTTGAATGCAGATACCATGTCCACCGTGCTATTCGTCTTGGAGCTTTTGTCAAGCTTATTCAGCTTCGTCTCGAGGTTATAGGAATCACGGATCCTGTCTTTGTGTATTCCAAGAACACCGCTAAACCTCCCAATGGTGAGCAAAGCTGCATTTCTTTTTTTCAACAAATTAAATATCTTATTCCCAAATTAGTTGTGGTTGTAATAACTCTAATTCTTGCATTGATACAGAGATCTTGATGTCTGCAATTGACAAGGATGAGGAAAATAAGGATGAAGATGGATTTCTTCACTTGATATACACTAATGAAGAGGAAGGAGTACCAATTCCAGCGAAGAAAGCTGCCACAAGGCACAAAAGTCCTTGCAGATTCAAGAGGAGGAAGTTAGTTGTCAATTACCTTGATTTAGTTATCTTAATTTGTTTGCTGCAATGGGAAAAATAAAAAAATCGTCCCCTCCATTTGTGCTTGTAGGAAAATCGGAATGATCCAGTTTTCAACTCCCATTGGTCTGTTAGACTCCTGGAACCTGATCAATACAGGCATAGCTGTTTTTTCATCTATGCGTTTGATTTATGCTCAGTGGTTGTTTGGAGGCGGACAAACCACCTAGACGTAGTTTAGATGCTTGGAAATTGAGGGAGAAGCAACCTGACCATATACCAGTAAGTGTTTCACTGCATTAAATTTGCGTATTTCCTCCTATATTTGGTGGACGCAATACCGTGCTCTATTTTGAGCCTCCGTGCAGGTAAGCGTGGAGAAGGACGCAGGTAGTGACATTCCTGACATTGACATGAAGAAGTTAGTTTCCAATTCGATTACGCTTGGGTATCTTGATTTGTATTGCAAGAATGGAATAGGATTTGACCCCCTTATTTAGGTATGCTTTTTTATATCATGTAGCTTATCTAGGATGAAGGTGGTCTCACATGGTTTTGTCGCCTGGCCTTCGTTTTTTACTGCAGATACAATGTCCATCGTGATATGCCGCTGAGAGAATTTGTTGACTTTAGAATATCGGTTAAGGATTGGGTATGAATCTCCATGGAAAAAGCCTATGTTCGTCTACTTCAAGAACACCGAGCCTCCCATTGGTGAGCATAGCTGCAACACATTTTTGTTTTAGTCCGGCAGTAATAACATCCTTCTTTTTCCCAAGTTAGGTGCGGATGTAATTAACTCTAACAGTTGAATGTTGTTACACAGATACTACCTTGATGCCTGCAGTTGATGAGAAAAACAGGGACGAAGACGGTTTTGTTCACATCACCTACAGTGGAAAAGAGAAAGGAGGCTGGACCCACTGAAGAGCTCTGGGTCAGTGATCTGATCTGAGCTACTTTGATATTTTTAAGCCTTAAAACTGGTCTTTGAGATCAATGGCACTGCATTGGACTTTAATGTTTGGAGTTGGAAATGTTTGATTAATTGTTTTTGGCAGTTGGTTTATGTCTAATTCTGGATTAGTTTTCTTTCAATTTTGCTTTCCAAACCGTTCTTCCCGACGCTGGCGGGATGTAATTTCATATAAAAACCTCATTTTCTCTCACTCAGTCCGTCATCTTGTTGCAATAGCCGTTGCAGATGCTTGTTGAATGATCATTTAAACATGTCCAACTAAAGACGAAGCACTTTTTTAGAGGTTGCCCAGATGCTATCTTCTATATCTATCGGGGAGGACTGCATTCCGGCTGGCCTTGTCCCAAAATCAATCTGTTTACGCATCAATTCTTCGAGCTGGGATCGCAGCTTGTCGTCCCTCAGTTGTTTTTCTTGTCTCGAGAATTTTTTTTCAGACTGTTCCCTTAATTTGGTTTTACGTAGCTTTATGCTTCTAGACTAAAAATATGTTAGTTGGTTATAAATCGATTTCAAATGTTGAAACAGTAGGGTTTATATTGAAGATGGTGAGTAATTACATAAAGATGAAATACACTTTCTACTTTTTCTTTACTTATAAGATTCTACAATGTAGTTGATGACTAAATTTCAAGGTTTTGGCTCTTTCTAAATACCTAAGGTGTATTAGAGAGTGTAACACCAATAGCCAAACCTTGTGAGTTGTTTCGACTCGCCTAATCCTTCAACTTCCTCTCTTATGTTTATCATTTTGTTGCTCATCTCATGTATTGCTTTAGTTGCTCTAATAATATTATATTATATCAATTCTCTTTCAAAGATATTATCCAATATTACTTGAGGATTAGAACCGTTATTTTGTAAACCACTTTCTAAAGAGGAAAATGTTACTAAATTAAGAGAATAAGCCCTGACAAATATAATCAGCCCTGACAAATGTAATCAGCCTGCTAATATAAAATTAAGGTCAAACAACTTGCTAAAAACACATTAAGAATTAAAGATGATGATCATAAACAACATGAGCAAGGCAGGTTTGGTTCATCCTCTGATGTTTGACATTGCTGGATCGAAAGAAGACTATGATCGATGCCCGCGAACGTTCGATCAATCATTCGTTTTGGACGAACAAGACCTGTGGTCCTGCAGTTCATAATTGTACAAACAATTCCCACCAGTTGATGATGATCAAGAAATTGACTGGCCAGCATTGTCACAACCACAAGTCTTTGGCATCGATCGTGTCATGCAAGTGGGACGATCGATCTACCATGTTCACCACTAATAACTTCATCAAAGTGTAGGTATACTTTCTTTCAACTGTCGTTACAAAACTGGCAAACTGCATACCCCAAATATGCAAAAGTATTCACTTTGAAATCATCGATATTGATAGCGTGGAAAAACTAAAAGGAAAATGATTTTTCGCAAACCATTTATTCTACGTGCACATTTATTTATTTTTGGTCTTTGATCAAATAAATTAAAAGAAAATCGACCAGCATAAATAATTATATAGAACTCGGTGTGCAAAACAAAAAAATGGTGTACGGGATTTATTTCTCAAATCAAATCTACTCACATGGCTGACCCCAACATCAACACGCATGATTGTAACAACTCAAACAACAGGAAACGATGGGTCCTCTCTTATCGTTTGATGCATATGAAGGATAAAAACAGCCTACCACCGAGCTTGCTGCCAATCAACAATAATAGTGTTCACAATAAAATTTTATCAGCATTGAATTTTTGTGGTAAGCTTCCTCTTGAAAAATAGTTGAGTGTGACCTATATTTCCTTCCATCTCTGCAGGTTGAAAAAGTTGACAGAGATAGAAGATTGAGGAACAAGAAGAGATCCATTAAGAGAAAGATTTATCCAAGAAAAAATTCGATGGATTATCTTCCAAACTTTGCCTCAATAATTGTCTTTGCAATAATCTTCCTACTACTTCGATTCGCTCACTTTCCCTGGTTTTTTGGGTTACATGCAAGACATGAATCGAACTCATACCTAATACCTATATTAATCTCAACCGCACTCACCTTCATGTGTTTTCATTTGCTAATAATTAAGTCGCGATTTTGTTACTAAACTAACTACAAAACCTTGATTAAAAAATCTTACAACCCAGTTGAAAATCTCAGTGGATACAGTAATTTTGCTCCAATGATTGGAGATTTCTATAAGACAAAATGGTTAGGTAAATAGAGTCTAAGGGATATATATAAAGTATCTGGTATTTCATGCAACTTGTGTTTCAAATTGGAGCACCAAGTTGGCCAAACGTCACAACGATGAAGGGATGGTTTAGCATGTGTTAGTTCAACTTGAAAACGAAAAAGGTATTTTACAGGCTAAAAGCCAACAAAACAAACCAAACATCTTGTAAAAAGGGAACATAGATTACGCTCTTCTTCTTAGCTTTACAGCTTTCATGTGTACGAGATGATACAATTTTGTTCCTGCAAGTAAACAAAAGGGACGATCAAATATGTTCTCTTTTGAACTTTCGTAAACATAAAAATATCACTATTACGTTAGAAAGTTAAAACACATAACAGTAGAAGTATTTCATCAAACAACCTCAAGTAAAGAGAAAGGGTAACTTTGATAATTTCAACTTGAGCAACAAAAGTTTGCTGGCTCTGCAAGTATCTCTCATGCACGAATAGCATGTTCTTGGCCGACCTGACAACCCAAAGCCTCCTCTACTAACCGACAAAACCTCCAACAGAAGCCCTTTGATTCTTGTCCTTATATAATTCTGTGTTAGTACAAGAATCCCATGTTATATTAATCCTAAGGCCTGACTTTTTCTTGCCTTACAATAAAATAATATCCCATGATTCATATCCCTACTCCCCTAGTACAATCATTCCTCAACCATTTGATCCTCTGGATCTAATTTAAAATATGAAATACATATCATAGTAATTTGAATTCCGATTAAGAAAATTTTTAAGTGTAATCGTTTCACTCTTTTATCATGTAAGATGGAGATAGTGAAACAGATATATACATGGCAGATTGGTATAATATCTTGGCAAATTGAATTTAAACAAACTAGCTTGACGAGAAAAATTGTTGTGGTACAAGATATTATGTTATAACTTTGTGCTTAAAGCACTCATTATGTGACCATGTTACATGATAAACTTCTTCAAGTCATATGACGAGCATTGTACTGTATAAATACATCGAGATGTATCCCTAGCAATATTAGGCTTCACAAATGGATCATTTTTGTCGTATTCGTCTCATTTTCATGTTATACTCGTAATCTTAACGAGTCATGTCGTACAAAATCCGTTACCTTAATGGCTTATTAAAATGTGACCGATAACAACCAGATTCATTAACGTTCCGTGTTGTATCATGTCAGATTAACAAGTTATACAAGAAATTGTTGTACATAATGTCTAAATCTGGCCTACCTAGCAATTGGTAAGATTCTTTCCATCTCGACACCATGAAATCAATCATATGCTAAGCACTCATTAGGGTTTTTATTAATTTGTTTTATTTAATTAACCTTGTTTATGAAAGGGGCGGTGGTGGCTGATTAATTAGTGGGTGGGATTCGGATTCTTATTTTCTTACAGAATTGACACACTCACACACACACACCAAAACAAATGTCGTTTGTTTTTAGCAATCGAAGAAAGGTTGCAATGCATGACGTGATATGGAGGGTTGTGATGTGATGATAATGGTTGATATAATTCTGGGTTGTCAATTGTCATGCTTGATATAAAAAGAAAAACAGTGGCGGGGGCCATAGGAGTTTTAGGGTTTTTTTGTACTTGTCAAATATTCCAATTTTCTTAACGTCATTGATTTTACAGAAACGACAGGTTCCCTATCATATTTGATGGCTTATACACTACATCGAACCTGAGAATGTTAGAGTCAGTCGTGAACGAGCGTTTCTTGCCCGTGAGTGCAGACAAGTCTTGTAGTGTAGTTTGCATGTATCAACCTTCAGAAAACTATGCAATCGTCCACTCACGATTAGTCATGGTAAAATCTTAATTGGAGTTTGTTCAAAACTATTTAGTTTTCATCCACTCTCTTCGTTTTCTTATTTCTTTCACATATTTTTTTCCTCTATTTATAACAAAAAATATAAAAACTAATAACTAAAACAAAATGTTTAATTATCACCATTAGCCATACAGTCGAGTCCAATAGGAGGTCTCATATGCGACTCCTATAACTTGCGAGTTCAGTGCCTAATTTACGTGGTTTAGCCCAAATTCCCACTCTAATATCATTTCATATGAAAAACAAAATGATTATTTCAAATTCCAAAATTAGTGATTAATTATTAACCGTTATATTAATTTCAAATTTCTACCAATTAGTACTACAGTCTAGTGATATTCTTTTTCACTTGTAAGTAAGAGGTCTTAGGTTCGATTCTTGCTACAGACAAATTTGAATCACGTTATTTGCTAGCCCATTGTGAGGTTAAGCATACCATCTTCCTTTAATGTAGATAATATCGTATGTTCAACAAAAAAAAAATTCCTAATGAGGCTAAGCTGCATAGGATACTTGATTGCAACGAATGGTCTATCACAAGGCAGAGTTAGGTACTTGGGGTCCGGGTGCACCAGTAGTGAACCCATCTCCACGGGCCATGGCTAGCGGGTCCCAGACAAGGTCGGGTCATTGAAAGCCCAGGGCCCTCGCCCCCACAAAATCCCACATAAGGGAGAGAGATCCACAATAGTGTCACACAAAAGGGGAGGAATCCAGATCCTCTTTGTGATAATTTTTGAAATTCGTGAATCGCGTTCGTTCATTGTACATCATGTGATCAAAAATTATTTTAATATTTTTATCTAAAATTAAACACAAATAGTACCTAGAAAAAATTTATTGCACAATGTATAATAAACGGACACGATTCACGAATTTCCAAAATCGTCACAAAAAGAATCCTGAGATGATCCTATTGGAAGGGGGAGAGACACACAATAGTACCTCATAAAAGGGGAGGGGGTCCTCCATTGATAAATATGAAACATCATCAACCCCTATCCTTGCATAGTCCAAGTGGATAACAAATGCAAATTTTATTGTTATGAAAAAATTTAATGACGTGATTTATCAAATCCCATAAATGGCAACTTCTGTGTTAATTTGTCAAAACATGGTTGACAAGCGATACCACATCACTTGTTAAGTGAGATATCAACCGCTAAAAGCAATACAAACAAAATCTAAACTAATCAAATAATGAAATCCACCCATCAACTCATCTCCATTGGCGACTTTACAGCTTCTGTGAGATCTATCACTATTGCAAGGCGAAGCCGCCACGATTCGTCAAGAGAAAATGGAAAGAAAAAAAAAGGTAGGTCGTCAGAAGAGTGATCAAGGAGAAGGGGATGACGAGAAGAGGCAGGAGTGTGGGTAGACCTGGCATTTTGGACTCGACCTAACCCAACCCGTTAATATTAGCATTTTGGGTGGATGCTTAACGGGTCGGGTTGTTAATGGGTGAACTCGTTAACAACCCGTTAAATAACGGGTCATTTTGAGTCAATCCGTTAGACCTGTTAGCACCCGTTAGTTGAGGA